TGCAGGCTCCATCCCCAGTGTGGGGGGTGCTGGAGGCAGCCAATCATGATTCCCTCTCATCATTGATGTTTCTATCTTTCTCGCTCTTCCTTTCTCTCTAAAATCATTTAAAAAAATATTTCTATTTAAAAAAGGAAAGAAATAGTTGTAACCCTGGCTGGTGTCGCTAAGTTGTTTGGGTGTCATCCCAGGTACCAAGAAATCACTGGTTTGATCCCAGTCAGGGCACATGCTGGGGTTGTGGGCTTAATCCCCACTAGGAGACATGCAGGAGGCAGCCAATCGATGTATCTCTCTCTCGCTCTCTCTCTCTCTTTCTCTCTCTCTCTCTCTCTCTCTCTCTCTCCTCTCTATCTAAAAATCAATAAAAAAAATTTAACTTAAGATATAGAAGCTTAACTCTTACCAAAAAAATTTGCTTTATCTTCTTTTTTCAATCATGTGTGTAAACTTATGAAGATTTTCCATCTCAATGGCATCTAAATGGTCGCTGCATTAGAGATCCATTGTTTTCTCTTTATTCAGGTCTCCCCTGTGGCAGCCCTCCCACAGTGCAAAATGCCTTCATACCAAACCAGAAGCCTAACTATCTACATGGGGACACAGCACATTATGAATGCAGGAACCATTTGGACCTCTTCGGGAATGCAGAAGTGACATGCTTACCTGGGAAGTGGACAGACCCACCTGAGTGCAAGGGTAGGTGTCTCATTCTCCCCTCCCAGTCTCTGTGCAGCTTCTGTAAACACTTGGTTACTAGACTCCTGTCCAGCTGGCCTTCATTTGGGTACTCAGGTTGATTGCTCTATCATTTCCTGTAAATCGGTTTGGGGCCAGGAGCCAGTGAGTGTAGCTCCCACCTACTCTGCAGCTCCCTTAAAATCAACTGCTCACTCAATAAACCAACAATATCCTCTCTTAGAGCCCACAGGACAATGTGGGCCCCCTCCTGCTATTGACAATGGAGACATTACCACGGATCCATTAGCAGTCTACGCTCCCGGGTCTTCAGTGGAGTATCAATGCCAGGCCTACCATGAACTTGAGGGAAACAGGAGAATAACATGCCTTGATGGACAGTGGTCTGAGCCACCCAAATGCTTAGGTAAGTCCTTTAATATTCCTGTGGACTCTGAGTAAAATCAATGTAATGCATAGGTTTTACTGTTTATGATCACATTTTGATGAATTAATGAACAATGCTAGCCCTATCAGGTTCAGCTCAGTGGAAGAGTTTTGGTCTGAGGACTGAAGGGTTCCAGATTTGATTGTGGTCAAGGGCACATTCCCAGGTTGCAGGCTCCATCTCCTGTGGAGGCGTGCAGGTGGCAGCCAATCAATGATTTGCTCTCATCATTGATGTTTCCATCTCCCTCCCTCTTCCTTTCTATCTAAAATCATAAAAAATATATTTTTTAAAAAAAAATGAAAGAAATAGTTGTAGCCCTGGTTGGTGTGGCTCAGTTGATTGGGTGTCATCCCAGGTACCAAGAAATTGCTGGTTTGCTCCCAGTCAGGGCACATGCTGGGGTTGTGTGCTTAATCCCCAGTAAGAGACATGCAGGAGGCAGCCAATCGAAGTCTCTCTCTCTCTCTCTCTCTCTCTCTCTCTCTCTCTCTCCTCTCTATCTAAAAATCAATAAAAAAAATTTAACTTAAGATATAGAAGCTTAACTCTTACCAAAAAAATTTGCTTTATCTTGTTTTTTCAATCATGTGTGTAAACTTATGAAGATTTTCCATCTCAATGGCATCTAAATGATCGCTGCATTAGAGATCCATTGTTTTCTCTTTATTCAGGTCTCCCCTGTGGCAGCCCTCCCACAGTGCAAAATGCCTTCATACCAAACCAGAAGCCTAACTATCGACATGGGGACACAGCACATTATGAATGCAGGAACCATTTGGGCCTCCTCGGGAATGCAGTGGTGACATGCTTAAGAGGGAAGTGGACAGACCCACCTGAGTGCAAGGGTAGGTGTCCCATTCTTCCCTCCCGGTCTCTGGGCAGCTTCTGTAAACACTTGGTTACTAGACTCCTGTCCAGCTGGCCTTCATTTGGTTACTCAGTTTGATTGCTCAATCGATTCCTGTAATCGGTTTGGGGCTGGGAGGAGGTGATTGTAGCTCCCACCTACTCCGCAGCTACCTGACAGTCAGTAAATCAAATATTATCCTCTCTTAGAGTCTAAAGGACAATGTGGGCCCGCTCCTTCTTTTGACCGTGGAGACATTACCACATTCCCCTCACCAGTCTATGCTCCCGAGATGTAGCCAGCCCCATATGGCTCAGTGGTTGACCATCAACCTATGAACTAGGAGGTGACAGGTCAAATCCCCAGTGTGGGGTGTGCTGGAAGCAGTCCATCAGTGATTCCCTCTCATCAGTGATGTTTCTACCTCTCAATCCCTCTCTCTTCCTCTCTGAAATCATTAAAAAGTTAGTCAATTGAATATGTTTGATGTTATTATGGGAAACAGATTTGGACAGAAGCAAAAAATATAATATGTACATAGTGAGTGTGACCTGTGTGGACAAATAAGAAATTGGATGTAAGAAATTTGGTCTGGATCATGACCTGTATGCCCATCTCCTCAGGCTTTCAATACCACCATCCCCATGTGACACCTTTGATAAATGCAAAATTATTCAATGTAATTGAGTCAAATCTGATTGAATTTTCAAGTTATAAGGAAAACATTTTACAATAGGCATTAGTTTGGTGTGTATCTATTATTCTAAAATATAATTATTTGCCAACATGTACTTTTAAAGATTTACTGAAAAGTGTATGTTGTTGCTTTTTCAGCAATGACTTGTCCTAGCCCACCCAGCTATGGCAATGCCATCCTTGTAGGCCGGAACAAGAACTCATACAAGTCAGGAGAACAAGTGACTTATCGATGTCCAAAATATTACCAAATGGAAGGATCCAATGTTGTACAGTGTATGAATGGCCGGTGGATAGGAACACCCACATGCAAAGGTATTTTGGTGAATGGCTTCTCCCATCATTAAAAAATAGACACAGGTTCTGGTGAGGCCAGATCAAGGAAGGTTTATGCCTCAACAGAGAGGAATGGGATGTGCACTCAGTGCTGGGCATTGGGGCCCCAGAGCCCTCAGAGTGTGACCCCGGAAACAGCCGTGTCAGTGTCTCTGGGGAATCGGTAGGAAGGCAAATGCAAACTCACAGGCTCACTCTGACTCAGCATCAGAAGCTCAGGGGTTGTGACCCTGAAACCGTTGTAGCAATTCCCAGCGGGCTCTATGCCCATTTTGTGGGGAACCGTAGCTTCAGCCTCTTATTACTTTATATCCACCCGAGTCTCCCCAGTGAACTGCACAGTCCTCACTGCAGTGCCTTCAAGCACTCACATTATCGGAGTATTTCTTGAAATTGTAAATATATTGTACTCTTATTTTTGCTCAATTTCTGTGTGGATCTTTTGATTTTTAATCTGTATTTTTGAAAGTATTCCAAAAGTCCACTTTTCTGCCCATTAACCCCTTCTAGCCTGGCCCTGGCTCCTCCCCAATCTTTCAGCCCCCTGTTGTCTATGTCCATGGGTTATGCATGAATGCATACAAGGTCTTTGGTTCTCTCTTCCTCCCCTTTCCACTGCCTCCATCCCTCTGAGATTCCACAGTCTGTTGCTGTTTGGATCTTTTAAGTGATGATCTTTTCCTTCAATTATATGATATCCCTCAAAGCCTGTTAATTCTTGACTTCCTGTCTAAGAAAGAGGCTATTGTCACTTACTTTCTAAAGGCCTAAAATAAACATTCAAAAACATGATGTTTGAGAAACTCATTTTGATGCCAAAAAAGGGATTTATGATGAATATCTAGGGTTTAGAAATTCATTTTGAATTTATATAATTGATGTTTGGATTATTAAACTTAAAGGAAAATATTCAGAAAAACTATCATTTTCTTTAAAAAATTCATTTTAATTTTTATTGAATTTATTGGCGTGGCATTGGTTAATAAATATTGCTGGGAAAATTGGACAGACACAAGCAAAAAAAAAAATGAAATTGGACCATCTTCTTATACCAAAGAGAAGAATAAACTCAAAATGGATTAAAGACTTAACTATAAGGTGTGAAATCATAAAAATCCTAGAAGAAATCATAGGCAGTCAAATCTCAGACATTTCTCCCAGCACGATCTTTTCTGATATATATCCTCGAGTAAGGGAAACAAAAGAAAAAAATAAATAAGTCTACGTGAAACTAAAGTTTTGCACGGCATAATCATCATTTTCATTGGCCTAAAAAATCTCTATTAACCTTACAGAGAGGACGGGAAATAAATTTAAGATATAGAAGTTTAACACAAACCAAAAAATTGCTTTATCTATTTTCAATCTTGCATGTAAATTTGTGAAGATTTTCAGTCTCAATTGCATCTAAATGATCGCTACATTAGAGATTCCTTTTTTCCTCTTTATTCAGATCTCTCCTGTGGCAGCCCTCCCACAGTGCAAAATGCCTTTATACCAAACCAGAAGCCTAGATATCGACATAGGGAAACAGCACATTACGAATGCAGGAACCCTTTGGGCCTCGTCGAATATGCAGAAGTGACCTGCTTAAGAGGGAAGTGGACAGACCCACCTGAGTGCAAGGGTAGGTGTCTCATTCTCCCCTCCCAGTCTCTGTGCAGCCTCTGTAAGCACTTGGTTACTAGACTCCTGTCCAGCTGGCCTTCATTTGGTTACTCAGGTTTGTTGCTCTATTGTTTCCTGTAAATCGGTTTGGGCCTGGGAGGAGGTGAGTGTAGCTCCCACCTACTCCACAGCTCCCTTAAAATCAACTGCTCACTCAATAAACCAACAGTATCCTCTCTTAGAGTCCACAGGACAATGTGGGCCCCCTCCTGCTATTGACAATGGAGACGTTACCACATATATATCACCATTCTACGCTCCCGGGTCTTCAGTGGAGTATCAATGCCAGGCCTACTATGAACTTGAGGGAAACAGGAGAATAACGTGCCGTGATGGACAGTGGTCTGAGCCACCCAAATGCTTAGGTAAGTCCTTTAATATTCCTGTGGACTCTGAGAAAATCAGTTTTACTGTTTATGATAAAATTTTGATGAATTAATAAACAATTTTAGCCCTAGTCGGTTTGGTTCAGTGGAAGAACTTTGGTCTGAGGACTGAAGGGTTCCAGGACTGATGCTGGTCAAGGGCACATACCCAGGTTGCAGGCTTTCAATTCCACCGTCCCCACGTGACACCTTTAATAAATGTGAAATTATTCAATGTAATTGAGTAATGATGGTGAACAAGTTTTAAGAAAAACATTTTTATAACATTTTCAAGTTATAAGAAAGACATTGTACAGTAGGCTTTAGTTTGGTGTGTATCTATTATTCTAGAGTATAATTATTGGCCGACATGTTAAAGATTTACTGAAAAGTCTATGTTCTAGCCTTTTCAGCAAAGACTTGTCCTAGCCCACCCAGCTATGACAACACCATCCTCGTGGGCCAGCCGAAGAACTCATACAAGTCAGGAGAACACGTGGTTTATAGATGTCCAGACTATTACCAAATGTATGGATCCAATGTTGTAGAGTGTAGGGACGGCATTTGGATAGGAACACCCACATGCAAAGGTATTTTGGTGAATGGCTTCTCCCATCATTAAAAAATAGACACAGGTTCTGGTGAGGCCAGATCAAGGAAGGTTTATGCCTCAACAGAGAGGAATGGGATGTGCACTCAGTGCTGGGCATTGGGGCCCCAGAGCCCTCAGAGTGTGACCCCGGAAACAGCCATGTCAGCGTCTCTGGGGAATTAGTAGAAAGGCAAATGCAAACTCACAGGCTCACTCAGACTCAGCATCAGAAGCTCAGGGGTTGTGACCCTGAAACCGTTGTAGCAATTCCCAGCGGGCTCTACGCCCACTTTTGTGGGGAACCGTAGCTTCAGCCTCTTATTACTTTATATCCACCCGAGTCTCCCCAATGAACTGCATGTTGCTCACTGCAGTGCCCGTAAGCACTCACATTAGTGAAGTGTATTTTGATGAAATTATAAATTCATTGTTTTATTTTCCATAATTTCTGTTTGGATATTTTTTTTATCTTTATTGTAGAAAGTACTACAGAAGTCCACTTCCCCCCCATTGCCCCTTCTAGCCTGGCCCTGGTACCCGCCCCAGTCTTCACCCCCTGTTGCCTGTGTCCATGGGTTAGGCATGAATGCATACAAGGTCTTTGATTATTCTCTTCCCACACCCCCATCCTCCCTCACCTTCCGTCTGAGATTCCACAGTCTGTTTCTGTTTGGATCTTTTAAGTGATCATTTTTTCCCTTCAACCAACCATATGATATCCCTCAAAGCCTGTTATTTCTTGACTTACTCTCTAAGAAAGTGGCTACTGTGCTTATTTTTCTAAACGCCTAAATTCAAAATTCAAAGACATGATGTTTGCAAACCACTTTTTGAAGCCAAATAATGTATATATTATGAGTTTCTATGGTCTAGAAATTCATTTTAAATTTATATCATTTTTTGCTTGGTTTACTAAATTTAAAGGAAAATGTTCTGAAAAACCATCACTTTCTTTTCATTCTATGACTTTTTAAAAAAAATTTATTGAATTTATTGGGGTGACATTGGTCCATAAATGGTGTTGGGAAAATTGGACAGATATAAGCAAAAAAATTATGAAATTGGACCACCATCTTACACCAAAAACTACACATTGCTCATTGCAGTGATTAAAGTCTTAAATGTAAAATTTGAAGTCATAAAAATCCTAGAAGAAATCATAGGCAGTCAAATCTCAGACATTTCACATAGCAATATACTTGCTGATATAACTCCCCAAACAATGGAAATATAAGAAAAAAGTAAACAAATAGAACTACGTCAAAATAAAAAGTTTTGCACAGCATAATAATCATTTTCATTGGCCTAATTATGTCCATTAACCTTCAAGAGATGATGGGAAAGAACTTTAAGATATAGAAGCTTAACTCTTATCAAAAAAAATAAAAATATTGCTTTATCTTCTCCATTCAATCCTGCATATGAATTTATGAAGCTTTTCAGTCTCAACTGAGTTGTAAACAATCACTGAATTAGAGATCCATTTTTTTCTCTTTATTCAGATCTCTCCTGTGGCAGCCCTCCCACAGTGCAAAATGCATTCATACCAAACCAGAAGCCTAGGTATGGACATGGGGACACAGCACGTTATGAATGCAGGCGCCCTTTGGACCTCTTCGGGAAAGCAGTGGTGACCTGCTTCAGTGGGAAGTGGACAGACCCACCTGAGTGCAAGGGTAGGTGTCTCATTCTCCCCTCCCAGTCTCTGTGCAGCTTCTGGAAACACTTGGTTATTAGACTCCTGTCCAGCTGGCCTTCATTTGGTTACTCAGGTTTGTTGCTCTATCGATTCCTGTAAATCGGTTTGGGGCCGGGAGGAGGTGAGTTTAGCTCCCACCTACTCCGCAGCTCCCTTAAAATCAACTGCTCACTCAATAAACCAACAATATCCTCTCTCAGAGCCCACAGGAAAATGTGGGCCCCCTCCTGCTATTGACAATGGAGACATTACCACATATATATCACCATTCTACGCTTCGGGGTCTTCAGTGGAGTATCAATGCCAGGCCTACTATGCACTTGAGGGAAACAGGAGAATAACGTGCCGTGATGGACAGTGGTCTGAGCCACCCAAATGCTTAGGTAAGTCCTTTAATATCCTCGTGGACCCTGGGAAATCCCTGTAATGAATGTCATGTTTGCTGTTTACAACTGAACTTGCATGGACACTCACCCCTTCTGTTGACAACCAAATAGTCATGTCTGAGGGTGTAAAGTCTGAAAAATTCTTGAGCATCAACAGCAAGAAACTATCATTTTTCTTTAATTTATTTTCCCCATCACCACTTATGCCCCCACCACGCTCATCCGCCTCCACCACCCACTTCAAGGATTCTTTAATGAAAGCCCTTCATAGCGTAGGTGACATTGTGAACATTGATTATAACATCCAATGACCACACATTCCACAGAGTACCTCGTTTTTACATCATTGATAGTTTAAAATGAGTTATACCAACATGATCAATTTTCAATGAATTGTTTTGGAAAAGGTTTTGAGAATAAATTTCTGGATCTGTGTAGAATATTCTACATGAAAGTGTAAAATTCTGTGGAAAATATTTGTATACTACTTAATGTTTTATGTCCCTTTTTTAAACCTTCAGATGCATGTATAATATCAGAAGAAATCATGAAAGAACATAACATACAGTTGAAATGGTCATATGCAAAAAAAATTTATTCTGGAACGAATGATTATGTTGAATTTGTGTGTCGACCTCCCTATCGTAGACTGTCACCAGCGTCTGCATTCCGAGTACAATGTCATGAAGGAAAAATGGAGTATCCCTCTTGTGCATAACATGAGAGCTATGTGGCAGTTTTCACATTAAAATATAAGCCTTCATTCAGAATGTTTTAATATTAATCTAATTCTTCTCAATATATTTTTCTAGTTGGGTGTAACTGACTTGTATTCATTAATCCGAATTCCTGTTAAATGCCATGTGGGAGATGTCATTGTAATCTGAGACCAACGGACCACATCTCATAAGCATCTCATTAAAATGTGACAAACCAACATGCTGTGTGTTCTGTTCATGAAACGTCTCTGGCCAGAAATTAGATGCCATCTCTCCCCTCCTTGCTTTCCCCTATCCACCTCCCAACATTCTCAAAGCTTCTCCACAGCTGTGGGGGTGTTTTGAGACTCTAATTTCAGAGGAACAAAATAAAAAATGCTTGTCTCCTTCTTCACCTTACAGTCACTTCACAAACATGTCAAAACCAAACTGTATCACACCCATGTTGGCAATAGATGGTAGAGGTTATTACTTAGGTTTGCTTATCTAAACGTAACTCACTATACCCCCAAAATGATGAAATGCAACATCTACTATCCATCTAGCACCTACAATCATTCAAACTGGTCATAAAGAGTTATTAGATTCTAACCAGGGGCCTAGCTATTGTAACAGGGACATGAAAGCTGATAAAAATAAAATACCGAGTATAAACACGTAGAACGCATTCTCCCAGTGTGCTGTGAAAAGTGAGCCAATGTTTACAGAACAAAGACTGGCAGGAAGCACAGTGAAACACCTACCATAACTACAGTTCCATTTAGATCTAATAGGCGTGGTCATTGGGTTCAATTTTTGTATGCTCCTATTCCTCTATCTTTAACATATATCACCTTTGGTCCACAAGAGTATGTTAATTTAAATTCAACACATATGAAAAGTAAGACAATACATGCTGAGGAGTATAAAGAACTCTTTCATGATGATGTGGGCATATGGTCGGGGTAAACTGCTGGAGGTGAAATTCATGGATCACTCAGTAGATATGAAAGCCTGGAGAGGCTTGCAAGACCCCTCAGTTCTCATTAACAATCAACTACAATTTGATTGCCAAAAAAGGATATTATAAATCCTAGACCAACTACTAAAAAGAGAGATCTAACCACCAACAAATTGTGTAAAATGAAATGCTAAAAGCATAGACTAATGTAAAAGAATGCAGAGGATTCTAAAGAGTACATGGGCCAAATTAGAAGCAATTGGCAGATGGCATGAGTACATCCATCAATAGTAATTACTGATATTAAATTACAATGACAAGCCAATAAGAAAGAAGAAGAAGTAGAATTGAATAAAGAGAAAACCCAGTTATGAGCTGGCGCCCCATGTGTGTGTGAGTGTGTGTGTGTGTGTGTGTGTGTGTGTCCATCCGTCCGCTGGGGGCCTGCCCCTAGCCGCACCGCAGAGGCTCAGAGCAGGCCACCCTCTGTGTTGATCTCTCAGGCTCTGGGCTGCACCTGCGTGTGTTCTCTCAGGTTCAGGGCCACACCCAGCCCCTCCTCCTGAGCTGGTCATGACCGTTATGGCGTCCCAACCTCATTTTCATATTACTTCTTTATATATATAGACTAGAGGCCCCATGCATGAAATTCATGCAAAAGTAGGCCTTCCTTCCTCTGGCTCCCAGCACCAGCTTCCCTCTGGCACCCGGGACCCGGGTTCCGTCCGGAGGGTCATCCAGAAGGACGTATGTTCTAATTAGCATGTTAAGCTTTTATTATTATAGATTGAACTGTAGTTATGGTAGGTGTTTCGTTGTGCTTCCTGCTAGTCCTTGTTCTGTGAACGTTGGCTCACTTTTCACAGCATAATGGGTGAATGTGTTGTTGTGTTTATACTCAATATTTTATTTTTACCAGCTTTCATGTCCAAGTTATAATAGCTATGCCCCTGATTAGAATCTAATACCTCTTTATGACTTGTTTGCTAGATGAATATGTAGACAATGTTTTATTTCACCATTTTGGGGGTATAGTGAGCTACAGATAGATAAGAAAAACTAAGTAATAACCTCTACCGTCTATTGCCAACATGGATATGACATAGTTTGGTTTTGACATGTTTGTGAAGTAATTTTAAGGTGAAGATGTTGACATGCATTTTTCCCCCTTTCCTGTGAAATGAGATTCTCAAAATGCCCCCACGTAGCATTTTGGTTTGTCATATTTGAGATGCATATAGAAGTGATCTGTTGGTTGGTCTCAGATTACAATGACATCTTCCACATAGTATTTAACACAAATTCTGACTAATGAATAAAAACGAGTTAAACCAAATCAGAAAAGTAAATTGAGAAGAATTGGATTCAAAATGAGAAATTCTGAGTGAATTGAATGAATTTTTTATTCATCATCATCGTCGTCATCATCATCATCACCATCATCATCACCATCTGATGGTGTGCCTGGCATACAACTATCATCTTGTTCATAAGTGGGATACTCCAGTTCTCCTTCTTGACATTGTACTTGGAATGCAGATGGTGGTGGCACTTCACTACAGCTAGGCTGACACACAAATTCAATATAATCTTCCATTGTAAAATAATCTTTTCTCGCATCTAACCATCTCAACTGTATGTTATGTTTTCTCATGATTTCTTCTGATACTACACATGCATCTGAGGGTTAAAAAAAAAGAACATAAAACTAAGTATTAGGCAAATATCTTCCACAGGAAAGAGCAGGAAATGCCAGAAGCCTGGCAAGCTTTCAGGCAGGAAGAGCAGTAGGTGGGCCTGGCCATGTATTTGGGGCCGCAGGGCTTCTTCATTCACATCTGGGGAGCTTCACTGTCCCTTCCCGACACACAGCTTGAAATGACTCCTCTGACGTCACCGCCTTGTGTCCCGATTTGCACATAAATTCAACGATATCCCCTGTTTTTACATAATAGGGTTTGTCATCTTTCCCTTTTAACTGTATGTTCTTTTCATTCATGATTTCTTCTGATATTACACATGGATCTGAAAGTAGAAGAAATAATGGAAACAATTAGTAACCTTTCCTTTTATAAACAAATAAACCTTCAACCCAATGACTAGCTTAGAGGATGAAGTTATAGAAAGAGCTAATGTACATCATCAATGTGGGCCGAGTCCTGTTCTCAGCCCCGGTCTGTGGGCCCTCACAGCTCCTCAGCGGGCAGCTGCTCCTCCTCACACACCAGGAAGCTGAGGGGATGGAAGGTCAGGCACACCTGTCCAAGGTCACAGCGCTCACCAGGTGGACGGTGAGTGTGGACCCGGCAGTGTGACCCCAGGGCCTTGGCTCTCTGTCTCTGGGATGTGGGGCATCCACAAGGTGACTTCCTGTCCAGAGGACATGGGAGCCTGCTCCATGGTGGCCATGGTTCTTCGTTGTCCACTTCCCACTCAACTGGCAGTGGCTACAAATGCTCCCAGTTTAGTCACTTTCCACTGGGTTAAACGATGCTAATATTTTTCTCTTATGCCCACAAAATGGGGAAAGAGAACCATAGAAAATCACAAAATTTCTAATGAACCATCTTCTAACAAATACCACTACATAGACATATATGCATAAATACATCTCTATATCCATCCATCCATCCATCCATCCACCCACATCCACCCATCATATTTATCTATCATCTGGCCAGCTGTTCTTCATTCTCTATGGTAAAGGCAGGCTGCACGTATGCAAGCATATGCATGTAGAGAGGTTTTGAATATCAACATGATTATGCGCAAATTTCTTTTTAAAAATGTTATTTTATTTAAAATATTACAAATAGTAGTACATGTGTCTCTTTTAATTTTTATTTTATTCTCTTTTCCCCACCACCATTTATTCCCCCTATGCCCTCTTCCACCTCCACCCAGCCATGTTCCACCCACAGTCACCATACTGTTGCCTATGACCATGAATTCTCTTTTTTTCTTTGTTTCTCAATCCCTCTACCTTCCATCTCTCTCCCTCACACACATACACACACACACACACACACACACACACACACACAAACACACACACACCCTGCACCTGAACTCTCTGCTTGCTCTCTATATATAAAACTGTCTCTATTTTGCTTGGTAGTTCAGTTTGTTCATTAAATTCCACATATGAGTGACATCCTATGGTACTTGTCTTTCTCCACTTCTGGGAATTTATCTGAAGAAACCTGAAACACTAATTCAAAAGCTATGTATACACTCCTATGTTCATTGCAGAGTTATTTGCAATTGTGAAGATTTGGAAGCAGCCCCTGGTGTCCATCAGTGGATAAGTGGGTAAAAAAGCTGTGGGCCGTTTATACAAAGGCATACGATGCTGCCGTAAACAGGAAGCAGATTTTATCCTTTGTAACAGCGTGGGTGGAACTGGAGAACATTATGCTAAATGCACAAATTTATCACCTCACTATTTCACTGGGACCCCATTTGTAAAATCAATGCAAGGGTTACCTTCCTTAGACTTTTTTTAGAGACATTAGGGACTTTCTAGTGTATGGCTACTGCAATGTGACTGCAAGCAACATCTCATATATTGTATTAAAGTTGAAGACCTTGTCTGTTTTCTATAGGCAAACTGTTCTAACATTGTAGAAAATCGTGCATGCTAAAACTTTTAATTTAGGGTTTTCTTTATTATTATTGTTTAAAGTATTGCAAATATTAGTACATATGTCTGTTTTCCCCCCCATTGACCTCCTCCACCCCCCTGCACATGCCCTCACCACCCTAGTGTCTGTGCATGCATATAAGCATAACTAATATACTTTTTTAATGGTATGACATCATTATATAATAGAAGCCTAATATGCTAAGTGTCTGGTCTTCAGGTTGGCCATTCAACCAATCAAAGCGTAATATGCTAATGATATGCTAAGGCCACTCAACTGGCTCGCTATGATGTGCACTGTCCACCAGGGAACAGACAGTCGAACAGTCAAGCAGTCACTATGACATGCACTGACCATCAGGGGAAAGATGCTCCAATAGTAGGTGAGCTTGCTGCTGGGGTCTGGCTGATCAGGACTGAACGAGATGGGCCAGACACACCCTGGAGCCCTCCTGCAGTCCCTCCCCGGCTGGCCAAATTCCGCATCCCTCCCCAGGCCCAATCATGCATTGGTGGGGTCCCTCGGCCTGGCCTGCACCCTCTCGAAATCCTGGACCCCTCAGGGGATGTCGGAGAGCTGGTTTCAGCCTGATCCCACAGGCCAGGCCTAGGGACCCCGCTGGTGCACAAATTTGTGCACTGGCCTCTAGTTGATTAATAATATTATATATGGGCTTCAAATGTTCAATTCTATGAAATAGCATCTGTATTTTGCTTTGTGTGCCCACCACCTGAAGTCAATTCATCCTCCATCACCATATGTTTGACCCTCTTTTTACGTTCTACTACCCCTCCCCCTTCTCTCTGATAATCACCATATTGTTGTCTGTGCCTATGAGTTTTTGTCTGTTTTTTTTATCCGTTTGTTTCAATTTTATATCCCACATATAAGTGAAATCAACAGTTCAAATTTGTCTGCCGAACTTATTTCACTTCGCATGATATTCTCAAGGTCTATCCATGATGTCACAAACGGCAGTATTTCATCTTCTGGCTGAGTAATAACGTTCTACTGCCCCTCCCCCTTCTCTCTGATAATCATCATATTGTTGTCTGTGCCTGAGTTTTTGTCTGTTTTTTTTTATCCGTTTGTTTCAATTTTATATCCCACATATAAGTGAAATCAACAGTTCAAATTTGTCTGCCGAACTTATTTCACTTCGCATGATATTCTCAAGGTCTATCCATGATGTCACAAACGGCAGTATTTCATCTTCTGGCTGAGTAATATTCCATCACATATTTGTAAGACATCTTTATCTAATCATATATGAAATTTTGGAGATATCATGGACTCCTATCTCTCTTGACCCAAGTGTTTTGTATTCTAGTTCAGCCATCACTGACATTGATAAGGCCTTAGACATAGCTGAAAGTTCTGTTCCAACACATCCCATTAACTATTCCATGATGAAACATGATAGAATAACACATATGGCTCCTGATATCCAAAAGTTTTTCAAATGTTCCTCAGTACATGCAGATGCTGTTTACATCCAAAAGGATATATTATGTGGGTTCTACATACCTGTCAAAACACTTTTTCTGATCTTTCCTTCTTAACTTTACTAATCCAAGCAAAAATTTACCTCCTTGCTTTAATACACCATATGTCTATGTAATTTTTTACACGATGTTGGATGTTGCCTTTGATAATCTTAAGTGCTCTCAGCAAATTTCAATTCCATGACTCAAGTAAAGTCTTACCTCTGTCACAGAACTGATTTTATGTCCCCAGAAAATGGACATTGCTTCCTATTCTTTGTGGGAGGAACAAGTCTTGCTTGTGCTGGGAGACATATCTTAGACTTGTCCAACTATGCAATCATCTAAACTTGAGATTTAGAACTTACCTTGGAAATACAATACTTTCTTTTCCATATAACCTAGTTTGGAGCTATTTCTAGACCAGTGGTCGGCAAACCGCGGCTCGCGAGCCACATGCAGCTTTTTGGCCGCTTGAGTGTGGCTCTTCCACAAAATACCCCGTGCAGGCGCGCATGTACAGTGTGATTGAAACTTTATAGCCCATGCACAGAAGTCGGTTCTCGGCCTGGGCGAGTCTATTTTGAAGAAGTGGCGTTAGAAGAAGTGGGGGGTGTTGGTCGGTCGGGCGACGGGAGACTCGGCGCAGGCGTACCCTAGTTAAGTTAATAACAATGTACCTACCTATATAGTTTAAGTTTTAAAAATTTGGCTCTCGAAAGAAATTTCAATCGTTGTACTGTTGATATTTGGCTCTGTTGACTAATGAGTTTGCCGACCACTGTTCTAGACTATTCTGACTTGGGTATATTAACTTTGATTTCCGGTCCTGGACTTACTGGGTTTGCTGTGATCTCCCGCAGAAGGGGACACATACACAGGAGAGGATGAGTCAGGGAGGGTCCACAGTGGGATCAGCTAATGTATCAGAATCAGCCTCTCCCAATGTTCCTGTTTAAAGGACCTTTATCATTGTTCACATAGGGATTCTCCAGGCTCACAGCCCTACACACGAGTCTCCGAATGTGAAACATTGAGCAGGAGAGCTGTTGGTGAGCACAGTTCTAGACTCTGACTGCATGACTAGTAGACCACACACCGGCTCATAAACATCACCCTCATGGTCTCAGGATCCAGAAGAATCTTGAGAACTTACCCATGCATCTCGGGACTTCAGACCACTTTCCATAACTACAGGTTACATATTTAGGAGAGCATTTTAAATGTTGAAGAACAAATTGTACTTTTATTGGAAACTACTCGTGTAAAGCTGCACAGGAAGTATTGTCCCTCTTTGGCATCTGTTGAAGAACAAATTGTAGTTTTATTGGAAACTACTCATGTAAAGCTGCACAGGAAGTATTGTCCCTCTTTGGCATTTTAAACCTTGTAACCAAAATGTGGTTCAAAATGCCTTAGATCACCCACATTCAAGCAAGGACTCCATACATGTAGACTTTTCAGCTCTTGGAAAAGGAAATGATGGATTCAAAATACTTACTAAAGCAGGTTGGCAAGTGGAGCCAGCCGTCCTCGCTACACAACATGGAACCCAGGGCATTTCCATCTCTGTTTTCATAGCCATCCAGGCACTGGTAGTCCAACGTGTCATTGGGTAGCAATGCTTTGCCAGTGAATATGACTGTGGCATTCTCAAATATTGGCAAATCACAAAGTTCTAAAACAAAATAAAGGTGACCATTGTATTTCTAATGCCATATCATGTAGAATCCAACTGAGAAAATCTCATTCTGGCAATACTAACCTTTACCATCAGTGTGTGTATCAGTGAAGTATCATGTGACAACTCTCTGAATCAGTGTGATTCTGGCCTGGACAAGTAATATAGCATGAAGAATAGATTTTCTTACACATCCTTTTCCCTATCATTCAATACCTCTAAATATATGTTAGGAACCTTTAGTCTGATGTATTTTTAACTGTGGATATATCACTGGCTTTTACTAAAATATACTATTATAACGATATCATGTTATCATTTGAAGGACAACACAATTTGTGATTTCATGAGGTAATGTATGTATTTATGTAGGAGACTGATATATCCACAGTTAAAAATACATCAGACTAAAGGTTCCTAACATATATTTAGAGGTATTGAATGATAGGGAAAAGGATGTGTAAGAAAATCTATTCTTCATGCTATATTACTTGTCCAGGCCAGAATCACACTGATTCAGAGAGTTGTCACATGACTGTGATACCCAGAGTGTGAGTATTTGAGAAAGACTGTAGGCCTTGGATACAGGATCCATGTATTTATATAAAACATCCTCTTTTTCCTAATGATTCTCAGAATTGAAAATTTATCTACATTGATTTTAAAAATGAATTGCAAAAGGTACAGCTTTTTCACCAAAGGGAGTCCATGAAATGGAAACAATATTTTAAAAATGTAAGAACTGATATCTTTTTTTTTAATCAATCTTCCCACCTTCTGTAGCATAAGGTTTAGTTTTTCTTAAACAGTCTTTTTTTTTAATACCCATAAATGCTTTTAGTGTGCAATAGCTACTGAGTGATCATGGTAAGTATTTCAACCCATATAACAGGTATAGAAAAAGGCAGGAAAAAGGAACTCCTTTAGTTGCCCAGGCTGGCATTCATAGGCTGACGTGTCATTGAACTTAAACCACATGCCTTAACTCTTGGCTCTCACATTCTCAAATATTGGCATATCACACCTGAAGGCTTGGCCCTAACGATGCCCAGAGCCCCCGCCCGTCTGGCCTCCAGCCAGGCCCCCACCCCTCCAGCCAGCCCAGCCCAGCCCCAGCCGGGCGCTGTGGACACCACAGTCATTCATGACTTACTAATGCATCTGGGTTGAGCTGACCATCCATTCTGGAGACATGTAATAGACCCGGATGTGTGACCATCTTCTGTGACATAACCTTGTTTGCACTTATATTTTGTTTTCTTATTCAAGGGATATGTAGACTCAGACTCAGCAATAAATCCATTCTCAATATTTGCCTTCGATTTTAAACATATTTCTAAAAGGAAGAGAGCATAAGGAAACGGTAAGCATATGGTCAGGAAACAGTTTCCTAAGGACTCCCACAACATTACAGCATGAGAAATAAGGGCCATTTGTCAATGAAAACCTGGAAAATTCCTAATCATACAAAGCATTGTGTCGGAGAAAATAGGTTATGAGTTTCCAAAAGCATTAACTCTAGATGTTAGAAACATTTGGGGGAACTAAGCCAGATTTAAAACACTGAGGATGCCTTGTAAGAAATTATTAAAAATCGGTTTGCCTCATGAATCTGGAAGCCCCCAGCCCGCCGGAGCTCTCCTAGCAACAGGCCCCTTTCCTGTGCCTGATTGGGTGTCAATATTGCTAAGAGGGTGGAGCTTAAGTGTTCTCACCCCATGGGAAGCAATGGCACCTATGTGAGGTGATGGATGCGCTACGCAGCTTCATCTGGTGGTCATGTCACCACGTGTGCTTATATCAAAATATAAAGCTGTCCACGTTAAACATATGCAATCCCCATTTTCAGTTACACCCCATTCCTACTGACAAAGGAAAACCAACTGGAAAACCGAAATATACGAGCAGGAATCAACTAGAAACCAAACACTAGAGAAAAGAACAGAGTCAAACAGTGCTTCATTGAAAATAGGCACTAAAATGGATAAACACACGGAAAGAACAATGAAGACAGTGCCAGCCACACAGACACAATGAGGAAACGGAGCCAAATCTATGAACATGACCTTGTGAGGCATATGGACACAGCCAGTGCCTAACTAT